CTAACACTTATACATCACACATAAATGTACAATGCACACGGCAATAGCCACAATGTACACGGCAATCAACATAAATAGATTAAAAATCCGAACATTAAGCTAATCTCGTGATTAATGTAAATTAATCACTTAACTATGTTTAATTATCCAATTAAACATAATGCTAAATTACCAAAATTATTTCGAACGTAAACGGTACGTCGAAAATATTTTCCGGTAACTTTGACTGAAATAACTGAAATTAATTAATTCCGAAAAATAATAACGGAACTAAAATATTATTATACTGATAAAAGGTCGGGATATTACAGACCCGGAGATTGATGATAAGGTATTCCGCATCTAGACACAATCTCAATGGATCAGGTATTCTTTATAATCCTTATGATCTTATCTAGCGCGATGTTGATTTTACTTGAATTATAGCATGTTCGAGGATAATCTCAATGGATCAGGTATTCTTTATAATCCTTATGATCTTATCTAGCGCGATGTTGATTTTACTTGAATTAAAGCATGTTCGAGGATAATTGTTATTGAATTTATATTATGTAATTATAAATTCCTACATAATGATAATCTCAGCAGCCTTCAGTTGATCTTCAAGTAGGGTATTTAAAAGACTCCTTATGCGTGAAGCCTTCTCCAAGCAAGATGCCTTCTCTTTTCGATTTCCTTCTTATTATTGCGGTCGAAACATGGTAAGCGGATATTTTCTTCTCTCTCTTCAATCATGCATATCCCTTCAGAGTCCATGCACGTCCAAAATCCTACAATAAATAACACAATAAAATCATGCTAATTTTTCTTAAATATAATATATATATATATTATATTATATTTAAGAAAAATTTGCATGATTTTGATCCCCCTATATATTAATTCAGAATGTACTGAGCCTACGTGGCAGGCTCGCATGCTTCGGGATCCTATATGAAAAAATTACATGTTTCGTTATTAGGCTTAAGTCGATATTAATTTACTTCCAATCCAAACATAATTAGGTCAGGATTATCCATAAATATGTTGATTATTTATTGGAATTTTACATGTATTAATTATAGGGTTAATTGATAAATAAACCTTAACCTTTTTGCGTTTGACAATTTTATCCCAATCTTTGTATAATTATAATATAATCTCGACTTCAACTTACTTATTGCAAATTTGGGTACAGAGTGATTGATTTTAGGGATTTGTGGATCGATTTTGTGTCCAAGTCTTCCATTGACACGGGTTTTTATGCTATCCACGTAGCAAGTTGACAATTTCCACATATTTAAGGTGTTTCCATGCACAAAGCCGAAAATTCCACGTCAATGTAAGCTACCGATAATGAGTATCCTCCTAGATCTGGAGTGATATGATAAATATAAGCTCCGATCTGCTCGAACTGCCTTCAAATCGACCAGTTTTTTAAGGTACAATAAGTTTTAGGTTCGAATTGCAATATGTAAATTGAGGTCGAGATTATACTGCAATTACTCCAAGATTGGGATAAAATTATCAAACGCAAAAAGGTCAAGGTTTATTTAGCAATTAACCCTTAATTATACTAGTATGTAACCCGTGCGATGCACGGGCTAGTACATGTTTTGAAAAAATTTAAAAAAGTAAAAGGTCATTTATTAATAAGTTGTTATAACACGTATGAAATTTACAAAGTAAACATAAGATCGTCATTGGCAAAAAATTATACATTATTAAGAACCTCCTGAGTGCATATATATCGCCTTGCTTAAATACACCTCGAAATTCACACATATACGTAGAATGTATAATGGCAGTTATTTGCGCATCCTACAATATGAAGTTATACAAAATAAGTTAAAGTAAAAAATTACGTATATTAGTAATACAGATATAACAAATCAAAATATTACCTCACGATCTTGAAAGATGATCTCAAAAAAATTATTGATTCCACGTAAAATTTCATCTCAATAATTAGAATTGCTTATTAACAGCTTGGAGTGTATCATATAACTCTCTCATTTTTTTTAATTTTTTTCAAAAGTTCTATGCATTTTTTTTATGGACAGGAATTGGAGAAGTTGATTAAATATGTTATTTATATATATAGGAATCAAATAATATATATTAATTTCAATTAATTTAATTGTTGAGAGTGACTTTTAATTACAAACTTATTGAAAGGGAATAAAAATTGGATGGTGTAGGATTTTGGGTATTTTATAGGAATGTAAATACTAATCTTTACGTCCAACTTTAATTAATTGATGAATTGAAATATAAATATTTATCTTTTTGTTGGCAGACTCCAAAAAAATTGCATAATATGCGGCCACAAAATGTATCTTATGGATTTGTACATTTGTATTATCATGTAGAAGATATAAACTATTTTTGTATTAAATCTACAAAAGTATAAAACGTGTTGAATAAAGCAAAAACGCATATATGTATTTGGTTCGTATTGATTTAATTTCCTTTTACTGTACGTATTACCATTGTTTTTTGATTTAATTTCCGATACCTGAACGAATAGTAGTATTGTTTTTTGATTTAATTTTCCGACCTGGAAGATATGATTTCCGTTTTACATCGGCAATTTATAGAGTTTTTTAAATATATTTTTTAAACTAAACGTTTATATATATATATATATATATATATATATAGAGAGAGAGAGAGAGAGAGAGAGAGAGAGATAGAAAGAGAGAGAGAGTTTTAATAGATATATAGAAACATGTTTATTTCATTATAATAATTGATGTACGTCATTAAGTTTAATCTTTATAAAAACACAATTAATTAATCTAATTTATTATAGAAACAAAAATTTATACACGCATAAAATATTAATTGAATATAGAAACACAATTTATAGAAACACAATTAATTAATTTATAGAAACAATTTATAGAAATGAATCTCCCAAATATATTATTATATTATTTAATTAGTTGATTAATTGATTAAGCTTAATATTTTTTTTAAGCG